CCCCAAAACCCCAAAACCCCAAAACCCCAAAACCCCAAAACCCCGTTGAGGCTTTTACAGATTGAAATTTCGATTAGTTTGAGTTGATTTTTGAAAGAAAAAGATTGCATGATTTTGAGAGGGTAAAATATATTGGAAACAAGGAATTTAAGAGTCTTCTATCTTTTCGGTCGTTGGGCTCTCTGGATTCTCAGATTCGCCCTGAACCTTGACGTCAGAAAGAAACTTTGATCCTGAACTCGAAGCAGTCGAGCAAAAGGTATCCTTTGTTGAGGAAAATTCTCTTTCTAAGCCCGTAGTTGACCCAGTTGAGTGAGCTTTTAATGGTCCAAGGTCCTCTTTAGAATCTTCCATTCCAATCAAAGCATCAGCAAATGGATCTTTCTTTTTCTTTTTGACGTTAATTTTCATTGCTTTCTCCTTGAACACACCTCTCTTGCCTTTAGAGCTAGTAACAAAGATGGCATTTTCGTATTCTTGACATCCATATTCTTTCTTCTCCTCTTCAGTGAGCTCCCTCTCTACTAAAGTCTTATCCTTAACAAAGAGTAGCAGCCCATCTGTTGAGAGATAGAAGGGGTTAGAAGCCAAGAAATCTTCTTGGTTAGCTAAGCCGTACCATTTTTCGTAAGGTAGCTGAACTCTGAAGAAATAGCTCATAATTTTGCAACACTCCATATTTTCTCTTTGTATATCAGGGTACTCTTTGGCTAGTATATGTGAGAATTCATCCAAGGTTGAATACCTCTTGACCACTAGTTCCTTCATAGGGGTTATCTGCCATGTTTCAGGGTTCCATGATCTTATCATTATTATAATATCATCTTGGTCGATCACCTCTTGTGCAGGGAGGGACTGTATAGCAATCTGCTTGCCCTCGTACATACGGTATTGCTCAATCACAACTTCATCTCTATAATATTTGGTCAGTCTGTCATTAGCTCTTTCTCTGAATCTGATTTGGGTTGGATCAAGCTCGATATCACAACTTTCCTTAATCTTTTGGCAAGCAAACTCCTTAACCTTGTAAGTGGTTTGGTGAGTGTTGACAGGAATTTCAATAAGTTCTCTCATTTTGTAATACAGTGAATCCGATGTAGCAATATCCATGTCCTCCTTCTCCTTCTCTGAGATTGGCTCAGAGAGGAAGAACTTGAGTCTCTTCTCATTTTCACAGGATGGGATACCAGTTCTAATATACAGACACATTCCGTTATAAATACTAGCTTGTTTTAGGGTCAGATCATTTTCTTTGATTTCTGTTCCATGAATGCCTCTCCTGAAGATTAATTTGTCAAGTCCGATTCCGAGTTGCTTCGATACCTCAACTTTAAGGTCAAATACAGTCAACCTTTTATCAACAACGACACTTTTGCCATATTCAATGCTTGGGTCCTTCTTATCTTTGCTGTCATTATCAACATCTTGATCAATAGACTCTGAAGGGATGTTGAATTTGATGACAGATCTGTTCCTGTTTAGTTCAAATTCAGTCTCCCACTTATTAGCAGCAATCTCCTTGGATAAGAAGGGGTATTTGTCAATATCTGGATGTTCGAATGACTTATCCTCAATAAATATGGTCAGCCCATCGTTGATTCTTAGAATCTTGAGTTTCCTCTTAATGTTCTTTTCAATAGAAAGTTCTTCAACATTCTTGCCGACTGATCCTGCTCTTCTTTTGGAAATTCTGAGTTTATCGAATGCTATATTATATTCAGTAGAGATCTTGTTCATTAGGTCTTCCATAGTCTCTTCCTTGTTGACAATAATTTTCTGAGGCATCAGATTGTCATCATCCAGGATGGAAATATTTCTTCTCCAGGCATTTACCTTAAGTGTAATTTTGTTTGGATCAATCTCCTGGAACTCCTCTTCAGCTGTTTTAGTCTCCAGCCCCAAAGTTTTAAGAGGGAAAATATGCAAAACTTCAAATGTCTCTTGCTCTTTGCCAGTATACGTCTCTTGCATGACATCGTTGACAACATTGAATGCTCTAAGTCTGCAATTTTCAATGCCAAGATCTTCCAATCCAAATTCGGTGACAGCTTGGACAAGGAGGGATTGAAGTGTGTCTTCTTTCCTATTAACCCAGAATACTCTTGAATCTCCATTAAAAGCAACCTTTAGCTGCATTTGGTTATCTTTTCTTTCTTTTTCTTCTAGCTGCTTCTTCTCTTTCTTCAAATCAGCTTCAACCTCGTCCTTGAGTTCTTGAGAGATCAGAGATTTAGGGACAGAGTTCACATTCGTGTCTGGGTCGATCTGTCTGTACATGAGCATGTATGCATTTGATCTAGCTTGAATACTACTGCTATATCTTCTCTTCTTTGAAGGCTTTTGACCGAAGGTTGTAATTATCTCCAAGAATGAAATTTTGTGAACCATAACATCATTAAATTTATACCAATCACCGGTCTCAAAATCTTTGATGTATGTGTAGTAATGGCCAGCATGTGCACCTCCTGAGTGGATTAGGATAGCAAAGAGCTCATATACAAAGTCTCCTTCTTTCTTGTACTCATCTGCAAGTTCAAGGTTCTTTTGAGTGACGATATCAGCCCATTCATCTTTACTTTTTCTGTCAATTTTCTTCTCTTCCTTCTCATTCTCTTTGGTATCTTCTTTTGTCTCTTTGGATTCTAGAATATTAGCATGTAAAAGTACCATTTGGTTGCTCTTCTTGAGGATTTTGAGCCTTCTCATCAGCTTGCTTCTTTCTTTCCTCTACTAACTTTTCCTCTTCTCCTGGAAGACATACTGCATTCTTTGGTTTCTCGACTAAGTGGGCACTTTCTTGGATACTGAAATCAAAAGCCCATCCTTTAGCCTCATTTGGTTTCTTCTTGCTGTTGGCAAAGAAATTACTGTTGAGGTTCTTTCTATTGAACCTCCCTCCTCTTTTCTTAATATTCTTCTTCATCTTTTTAAGATAAGCTTGATGTTGCTTGTCAGTCTGCTCTTTTTCCTTATGTCTCGAGATGGTAGTTTGACCTTCAACTTGCATTTCTCCTCTATCTTCAAGATTCTTGAGTTCGTTCTCCATGAACTGATTATATCTTTTACTAGTATCATTTGAGATTTCTTGCCCATCTTTGTCATCTTCGTCGTCTCTAACGAACTTTCCAAGCCTGAGATCACTGGGTCTTACCTTTGAGAGAGGGTTGTCTTCAATAAGCTTCTCAACTTCTTCCGAGGAGTACTCTCTCAAAAATGGGTTCATGTTGAGCAGCAGCGGGAATGTCACTTTATCATTGATCTTAACTCTTTGGAATGTGGTATAGTCAAGAGTAAATCTTTTGAAGTTCAAACAAAGGATTTTGGGGAGTTTTACCAGCTTGAAACCCTTGGTAGCATCTACCTTCTTATCACATCTGCTGCAGAAGTACTGGTTATCACCTTCTAGTTTTTCAGTTCCTAGGTAATGGCCGAGAGCTTTTTCTAGAGAATCATTGAAAGAGTTTGAAAAATCATCCTTAATTGTTAAGGAAATATCATTGAAGTTGACTTCCTTGTTAGAATCATACCCACAAGCTGTACAATGCAAGGTGTCTGAATATATCCCATTATACAGGTTATCCAGCAGAGAAGCTTGAGGAGTCCCTTCAAAGGTGGTGTTTAGAGCTTCAAAAAGCACCCTTCAGAATTCTGATATATCATTTTGCTCAAAAGATGCGTTCTGGTCCCATCCGAAGGACTTAATTAGGTCTGTTGTAGTAGCAGCATCATCGACTAATTGTAGCCTAGCAAAGATCTTCTGAAGTTGGTAAGGAATAGAGTCTTCTTTATTTTGAACTGTGTCATCGAACCTATTTGGATAATTCAAATAACTTACTTCCACTCATACAAGGCTTTTCTGAACTCTTTAGTCATAAACATTGATTGTAAAAGACTGTTCATGTAGCATGTTGCTCCATGGTTGGCCAATCCTTTATGCAGGGAGACTTCTTGAGGGTCTCCAGTGTACAAATTAGTATCACCTTTAGTATCCTCCGCCATAGTTAAATGAAATAATTATGTAATGCTATTGCCAATGTTTCTGCATAAATTAGGGGTTTTGGGGTTTTGGGGTTTTGGGGTTTTGGGGTTTTGGGG